ACTTTTAACTTAGCAGCTGAGCACTTAACTGTTGCACCAGCAGGACTCTTTAGTCCACAGTGGATTCGAAGCAACAATTTAGGAGGCATTACTCCTGCTCCTAGGCTTAAGGACAGAGATGCTGGAGGTCTTAGGAAGAACCTGGACTGCAGGTCAGGACGTGCTTGTTGGCCCAGTTGCTTCCTTGCTTTGGATTTCAATTTTTCCATCTGGAAGGTGCCAGCCTGTTTCAGAGGAGCAACAGGCACAGGGGAGCTGGACACTGGCATGGGCACTGGGCTGGGCTGGTGCCGGATTTCAAGGTCATGGGATATGGCACTGCCCTTGAAATATTCCCAGGCTAGAAGGGAGGCACCCCCTCAGGCAGAAACCCCAGAAACAAGTGGTGGTATTGTTAGGTGCCATCGAATCATTTCCAACTCAAAGCGACACTATGTACAACAGAATGAAGCCCTGCCTGGTCCTGCACCATCCTCACAACCTTTGCCGTGCCTGAGCTCATTGTTGCAGCCAGTGTTGATGCATCTACTTTCCCGCTGACCCTCCACTCTACCAAGCATGACATTCTTCTCCAGGCCAGGAACTGGTCCTTTCTGACCACATGACCAAAGTAGGTGAGATGAAGTCTGGCCATTCTCACTTCTAAGGAGCATTCCAGCTGTACTTCTTCCAGGATAGATCTGGAAACAACTGAGCAAGTAACTTACTCATACATAGTAAAGGTTCTCCTAGACCATAAAGGATGTGTTTAAACTTTGAACTTCACCTCTAGAGTCACAGCAGGAGTGGTTAAATGGTCTGTTGTTATTGTTAGGTGCTGTCAAGTTGATTCTGACTCAGAGTGATCCATGTGACCAAGTAGTACTGCCCCATAGGGTGCCCTTGGCTATAATCTTTATGGAAGCAGATTCCCAGGTCTTTCTCCTGCAGAGCTGCTGAATGAGTCTGAACTAGCAGCCTTTTGAATAGAGGCTGAGTACCTGACAGTTGTGCCACAAATTAGAATACAGTGTGAACCACATATGCACTTCAATTTTTTTCTGGTAACCCTATTACACAAGTGAAATAAAATAAGTGAAATTAACCTTGATAATATATTTGTTGATTGAGTATTGCCTGGTACGTAATGTTAATTTATTTATCAATTCACTAATTCAACAAATCTGCGTTGCACCCCTCCTTGGCACTGTGCCAGGTGCTGGGAGTAAGATGGTGGACTGCACAGTCCTGTCTCTGTTTTCATACAGCTTCAGCCTAATGGGGAAACAAATAATTAAATAGGCAATTATAAAATCCCCTTCCACAGAAGGGAATATTTCAGAAACTGTAGGCACAAAAACGTAAAATAAAATTTACAATTTAAAATATTTTGGAAAAAAAAAGTCTTTTTTAAGCAGAAAATACTGAATGTAATTTAGCCGTTTTCTCAGTGGCTTCAAGTCATCACCATAAACAAAGAACCATCAAATCTTGATGTGGTAAAGGACTTAGAGGTGAGCTAGCCCAAGCCACTGACATACGTGCCTTCAGGGTCACAGAGCTGGGTGGCCTTATTTGCCCTGACACTAAGTGACCCCTGTGGACTCTGTTTTAATAGTGTTTCCATTTATTGACTGTTTTCCAACTATCGACTAGACTGTGGATGCCCCTTCTCTCTGCCTCTGACAATGGCCGGAAAAAAAAAGAAAAAGAAAAAGAAAAAAACCCACTGCCATCGACTCGATTCTGACTCATAGTGACTGCCATTGGGTTTCCAAAGCCGTAAATTTTTATACAAGTAGATTGCCACATCTTCCTCCCAGAGAGCAGCTGGTGGGTTTGAACCATCCACCTTCTGGTTAGCAGCCAAATATCTTACCCACTATGCCACCAGAGATCCTTCTGACAGTTGCCAACCTCTCCTAAATAGCCGTTTCTAATCTATTGTGGACTAAGTAACTGAATGGTTGTTAGAATTGTGTATAAAGTAAGAGCCAATGGGTGTTGAGTGAAGGATTTTCCCAAGGGTTGAGTACCAGCATCTGGTGGCTGCTCAGAGGGCTCTTCTGCCTATTCCTGGCTGTGCTCAGGATATTTGAGGTTGGAGGGTAGGTGAGGTGTTGTTATAAATACAAAAGAGCCTTATTAATGGCCGGGCATGCTCAGACTAATTGCTTCCCCCTGTTTACACATAATCAATCACCCGTGCTGTTCAGAGCCATGGGCAGGTGGCAGAAGAGGACTATGGCTGGATTGGGATGGGCCTCAGAGGTCTGAGCTATTCCATCTTTCAGGTTCAAGTCTTTCTTGTCTTCAAAAAACCAAACCATCCATCCCTGGATCCCTCAATTCCACCTCCCACCTTTTCCCTCTCTCTTCTCTTTCCAATATACTTCTTGAAGGTGTTGTCTATTCCACTGCCTCTATTTCTTTATCTCCCAGTCTTGCCTCAACTCCGCTTCCCCGTACTCTCCCCAGAGGCCTTTATTGCCACCCGTCCCAGACAGACACCCTGATGCTCTATTCACACCTATGCTTCTTCCGGCACTGTCATCCACCCATTGTATAAGTCAAGGACCTGCTATTTCTCCCTGGACCTCCTTTTCCATTACCCACATATTCAGGACATCCCAGGTCATGTGTGTTTCATTACCAAAACATCTCTTGACTCTATCCATTCCTCATCCTCTCCACCCTCAGTGCCACCAGCCTGGTCTGAACCTCATTCACCCCTTACCTGGGCCACTCATCCTGCTGTTCACACATGCAGGGCCCCCAGCCATTTGCTACCCTGCAGCCAGGAAGATCATCGTCAGCCCCTGCCCTGTGCACACTGCCTCCCACCCACCCACACACATACTGCTGACTAGAATACTCCATAGCCTTCCATGGCCATCTCTGGATAAAGACTCAATCTTACCATGCCTACAAGACCCTGCCCAGGTGGCCTGAACTCTGCCTCTCTGCATTTGCTCAAATGCATCCCGCTCTCTTCCTCCACAGCCTTTGCCTACTTGGCTCCCTCTGCAGGTACAGCTCCCCAGCCTTCCTCCTCCTCCTCCTCCTCCTCAGTACTAGGCTCAGATATCCCCCTGCAGGAAGTCATTCCTGACTTCTGGCCTAGGTCAGCTCTCTCAGAACCAGGCCAGTCTCCATCAGCACCAAGAGGCTCAGTTTGGAACCCACCTTTGTGTGTGAGTGTGTGTGTGAGAGAGAAAGAGAAAGAGACAGAGACAGAGAGAGAGAGAGAGAGAGAGAGAGAGAGAGAGAGAGAGATTGATTCTCAACTTCTGTGAGAGCTAGGGGCCAGTGTTCTTTCTGAACACTACACTCTCAACATTTAGCCTGTGGCAACCCCCATATGTATTTTATTGTTTTGGTCCTGGCCCTCTTTTGAGGCCTGTGACTGACACTAGATTCTCTTTGCCACTAACCGTCTGTGACTTTAAGCAAATCACGTTACCTCTCTGGGGTGCTGCTCAGTGTCTGGGAAGGTCTCCAAGGTCTCCCAGCATTCTAGAATAATATGGCAGATATCCACTATTCTTCTTAATTTTAATCACAACCCTTCAAAGTTATGTTCTATTATTATCTACATTTTGTAAATGAGGATAATCAGGTGGAGGGAAAGGTGACATGACTTGTCCAAGAAGCCAAAGCTGTTTAGCAGCAGATTTAAGACTCAAACTCAGATCCTTGTGGTTCTAAAGCCCAAGCACTTAGTCTTGAGATGGTTGGGAACAGTGGAAAAGTCTAGAGTTCAAGACTAGGGGGCTGATTCAGTGGTGAGGGCGACAGCAATGCCACATGGGTTCTGAGTTATTGATCTGGGCTATACAGTGGGTTTGCTGACCCTTCCCTGAGCCCTTAGACTTCTGCAGAGAAGGTAAAGGGGCTCAAGGCCCTGATGGAAAGGCTGATGTGGGCAGCCTCAGGGGATGAGGCAGGAAGTGCCTGCCAAGCCCAGAATGTCCAAGGACTCACCTGGCCCCTTTGGGAGAGTAGATTATAGGATCAGGGCTGGGCTGGGTGTAGCACTGGGCATGAGCTCTATAGCCTGACCATGGGCAGAGGAGGGCCCTCCCCGAGGACAGTCAGGATAGCGGGGTTCCGTGGCAGCAGTTGGGATAAGTCTCTAGATTTGTTGAGATACAGCAAAGAACTTGAGCTCTAGAGTCAAACCTGATTCAGTGCCCAGGCCTGACACTTCCTCTGTGACATGTGGCTTTGAGAGGTCACTTCGTCTCCCTGAGCCTCACATGCCTGTCTGTAAAATGGGTACAATCCCACCTACCCTACAAGGTTGTGAAACTTGGAGCAGCACCTGGCACAAAGCAGCCCTCGGTGAGTCACAGCCCTTGGTCTCTTCGCCCAGCCCCGAGCTCCCCTCAGGGAACAGGAGGGATCAGGCTGCAGCTCATTATCAGAAAGGAAGCATTAATATCTCCATGTTAAAAAATAACCTTATCTTCATTCTGTCATGTCGAGAGGAGATGAGCCCACATCGCTTTCTGACAGCTCTCTGTGTTTGCCGGTGTGTGAGAGAGACAGACAGACAGAGAGTAAGGGCAAGAGAAATCAAAGAAAGAGAAAGATGGATCTAGTTGTATGCGTGTGTGAGAGAGATCTAGTTATATGTGTGTGTGTGTGTGTGTGTGAGAGAGAGAGAGAGAGAGAGGGAGAGAGAGAGGAATCCAGTCTGTGTGTGTGTGTTGGGTGTGTGTGTGTGCATGTGTGTGAAAGAGGGTATTGAGCAAGAGCTCTCATGCCTGTTTGAGAGAGACTGAGTGACAACGACTTGCTTTTTTTGGGGGGCAGAGTGTGTGTGGGTGTGAGGGGTGGGTGGATGGGTGGGTGGTGATGGCACCCCTCCAGAGGAAGGGAAATCACTTTGGGAGAGTGACTTGGTAACATCCAATATTGAATGTGTTGGAATGCAGAGCAGCTCTAAAGATGTTTTCATTCAAGATGCTGAGGCAAGGGGTGGGGGCAATGGGAGGGGTGATGGCTCCATCACTCGCCTGGGAAGGTCTGGTTGCAGGAGCCAGAGGCCAGGGTCATGACTGGCACCATGGTTACTCCCACTGAACGCTGCTGCCGTCTTCTGGCCACCACCACCACTGCCATCACCATAGCCACCACAGCATTAGGCTACCTTGGTCACTGTGCAGCCAGGTCTCAGTGGCTGTGCAGGGAGACACTAACCCGGCTCTCACAGGACAGATCCTGCCCCAGCTCCTGGGCCCATTTGCTCATCTGTCATGCAGGCCAGGAAGAACTTGACTCCACCTTCCTGTTTCCACTTACCCATGTTCTCTGAGCCCTGACAGTGTGGGGCCCCTGTACTAGGTGCTGGGTGTGGGGGGGACACACTGCCTGCCCTTGAGGCACTGCTGGTTGGCTGGTACAGGTAGATCCAGGACAGAGCACTTCATAGCAATAGGTTAGGAACCTAAACAAGCTACTGAAGGGCTGAAGGAGAGACAACTAAGCAGTATGGTGCTGGTGGTACACCGAGGGGGGTAGAGAGTGATGTCCCCAAGCTCACCCAGCCAGCAGAAGATCTGGGACTAGAATACAATCTCCTGGACCCCCCTCCAGTGCACTGGCTTCTACTTTAGACCATCTCACTGCAGAGAAGCCAGGATATGGAGAGGGGCCAGGGTGGGTTGACTCAGCCCTGAGGGGAGTGAAAGGGAGGACCTGGGAGAGGGAGGGAGGCAGCTGGAAGGGATGTCATTTATGAGGTGTCCACCACAGACTGGGCACTTTGCAGTTGTCCTCTGTTCAGCCCCACACCGTGCTACAGGCCATCATACCATTTACACTAGGCTCCCTGGAGGCTCAGAGGTGGCAAGCAACCTGTCCAAGGTCACCCAGTCCAGAATCAGCTGAACTGAGATGTGAACCAGAGATACCTGCCTCTCAAACCCATATATACCCACTTGCCCAACAGCTCCCAAGGGGGGGTATCTTGTGAAGGAGGCAGAGTGTAACTCGGAAGCTAGAGGCCCGTCAGTGACTCACAGGTCATCTAGAGGGAGCTCCCAAGAGTCCAGTTTAATCTGGAATTATCCCAAATGCAGATTTATCCCCTGGGATTCAAATGACGGGGTGGGGAGGGGTGACAGCCCAGCCTTGACCCTTATTGAAGAGCCCGGGGCTGCTGGGGTCCATCCTGACCCCTTGGACAAGGCTGTTTGAATTCTGGCCATGCTGTTTGCAGCCCTGGCCCAAGGTCATTTGCTCAGGGAAGAAAGGCAGCCTCTAAGCCCTGTGTGTCCGCCCTTCCTGGCTCCGAGCTAGGAGCTGGGGTGAGGCTGAAAGCAGATTACCTGGTGAGGGGCCGGCTGGGTGGGATGGCACCGTGGTGACAGGTCCATCAGGCAGTGTCTCTGAGGGATGTGTTCCTGAGGCTGCTGGTGACGGGCCCCGGCCTCAGGCTGCAGAGGGGATGCTGATGAGGTGGAGACAGCCTCGTCCTGCACCCGGAGGTTGTGACCCTGTTCATCCCCCTCCTGGTGGCCGTGGAGGGAGGGGGCGGCAGGGGTGGGCGTTTAGCCTCTTAGATACCCCGGGAATTGCCTGTTTGGGTTATCCACTGAGCCTGCCCCTTCTCTTTAACGCCATCAGCTCCCTCTCTTCTGGCCTCAGTTTCCTGGCAGGACTTCCTGCCTCCAGGTCTCCTACCTCCCTCCACAACCAAGGTAATCTTTCTAAAACACTTGGGTGGTCATGGCTCTCCCCTGTGTCCTGCATCGATCCTCACTGCCCCAGGAGAAAGCCTGAGTGACTCTGCCCCAGGAACAAAGCCCTCGGTGTCCTGGCCTCTACTTCTCTGGGGCTGCATCTTGTGCTCCTCTCTTCTCTGCCTCAGGGCAGAAGGAAGGTTGGACAATCCTACTTCTGTAGTGATACTGCCTCGGAAACCCAAAGAGGGGTCGCTATGAGTCTTTGAGCCTGACACCGTTCCTCACCCTGTCACCTCCCCCTTTGGCCTAATGCCTGCTTCTCTCTCAGCTCTCACAGTGGACATCACCTCCTCCTGGAAGCCTTCCCTGAACTCCTGAACTGGGTGACCCCCAATGCTCCCGGCACTTACTTCATCATAACAGCGCACTGCAGGAGCACTCTTAGGGAGCTCAGGTCACTGTTGGTTCCTTCCCAGCCCTGACCACAGCTTCTTTGTCCATCACACCCAGCATCCTGGGAGTTCCTTAGGATTTCTCCACTTAATAAAAGTGGAAATGGGGGCTTGGAGTGGGAAGTGACATGCTTGAAGGCACCAGCAGCTAGGAACTCAGTCTGGGCCGGGGCTGGTTTCCATCAGCCTGTGTCCCCCAAGAGTTTGTGAACCTCAACACGGGAGCTTAGCGCTCAGGCCCCACTTCCTCTCCCCACCGTTGCCGAGGGGCTGGGGGGCTGGGGATGATGAAGTTGTCTCCGACAGAGGAAGCTAAAGATGTAAAGGAGCCCGTGAAATCCCCAGTGACAGCCGTGACCACTGTGGCTCCAGCCATTAAGCACGGAGCTTTAACAGGCCCAAAAGTACACCTGGGGCACTTGTCAGCAGCTCCTGCTCGTCCCGTCCTGTGTGTATCACAGCATGCATGCATGCACATGCGTGCGCGGACCCCCCCCCCCCACAGGCTCGGAGAGCAGCACAAAGCGTGAGGTGGGACCCCTGGGGATGTTCCAGCAGCTCCCTTGGCTTATGGATGGGGAGATGGGCCCAGTGGGGGGACAGGCATCCTTGCACAGTTGCACCCCTCATGGGTTCCCTTTTTCAGATTATACTTCATATTTGCATAGCACTCATTCAGCTGAAAAGGCTTTGATGTGGGTCAGATGCTTTTTAATACCCACCCACCTGCTGGGACTTGCGCACATGCTCCAAACACAGTGCGGGGCACACAGCTTCATCCAGCAGCCAGGGACCTTCCTAAGGTCTGAGGGCCTCACTGTTCCTCACTGTTCTCAATGTGTCTAGTTGAAAGCCCTGGATGGATGCTGGGTTCTGGGTCCTGACCCTGGCTGTAACTCCGTGGGTAACAGTGGGCAAGCCCTCCTCCTCTCTGGACCTTCGTTTCCACGTTAGTTCCCCACGACAAAGTACTATAAACTGGGTGGCAGTGGGGGCCGGGGGGAGCTTAAAACAACAGGATCTAGGAGTCCACAACCAAGGTGCTGGCAGGCCATGCCGTGCTCTCTCTGAAGGCTATCAGAGAGAATCCGTGTCTCCTCCGGCTTCTGCTGGGCCCAGGTGTTCCGTGGCATGTGGCACCATCACTCCAATCTCTGCCTCTGTCTTCACAGGCCATCTTTTCACTTCTAAGGCCACCAGTTATACTGGAGTAGGACCCACTCTACTCCAGTATGGCCTCATATGAAGTAATTACATCTACAAAGACCGTATTTCCAAATAAGGCCATATTCACAAGGCCTAGGGGTTAGGCCTTGAACATATTTTGTGGTGGTGGTGGGGACACAGTTTTCTTTTCTGGACAGTCCTCTCCTACCCTGGTCATAGGGGCATCCATGGATGGCTATGTGAAAATGTGTGGTAGATGCCAGCTGGCCGTTGGTCCCTGCAGCCTGGCAGCTGTGGGAGCCCCAGAGCCTGCTGGGGATTCAGGGCTGAGAAGGACCTATTTGGGATGCTTCCTCTGTGGACAGTCATCTTTGTCCACACACTGAACATGCGGCACCTAGTAGATACGGGGGGAGTGCTTGTTAGTCGGAACTGAGCCACCAAATCTTACAAAAGAGAATTTTCAGGAAGCATTCAGGAATCCCTCTTCTGGGCTAATTCCCTGCCAATATAGTTCTATGTCCTGGTCCTTGCTTACTTCTGCAGCCATGAGTCTCACCGCTCCTAAAATTCTAAGCAATAACCACACTGAAGTTCAGTTTCCCAGATTCACTGTGTCTTCTCTGCCAGCCTCTCAGGAGTATAATCTTCCTGTTGGGACCTGGCCCTTCACCTGTAAACTCCTACTCAAACCTCCAGACCCCAACAGGCCTTCCCTGGCTCTCCAAGTCTGGGATAGGTGCCCCTCTGGGCTGCCTCGGCCTCTTGAATGTCCCCCTTCATAGAATTTACTACAATGGCACACCATGCTGGCAGTGTCTCCTCTCCAGGCACCTGTGGCTGGAGAGGCCCTGGTGGTGTCTCTTCCAAGGCCTGGCCTGTGGTAGGGATCAATACAATTTGCAGAATGAATGAAGAACCCAAGGGCAGCTGAGGGTGGCAAGTTCCAGTAAACACTTCTGTGGCCCCCACTGGCTTCCCCCTCAAGACTCTAGCACCCACCTCGCTCTGCGAGTACCTGAGGGGCTGCCACCTGTGGCCACTGCCAGGCTGCCTATCCTGGTGAGCCTGAGGCCAGCTCTCTCACAGTGGGTTCCTCTGCCACCTGGGCCGCAGGCACACACAGCTGAAGCATCTCTCTGAAGCATCAGGTACAGAGTCTGGCAAGACAAATGCCCACCTTCCCCTCCTGGGTGCCTCTTCCAAACACCGACAGCCCCTGTTGCCTGAGTCCTCAAGGGCCTCAAGGCTCAATTTTCCTATCTCTGTTCCAGTTACTTGTGTCCTCACCAGGGGCCCTCTGTCATCATAAGAGAAAGCAGGGTGCCAAGGGCTTCCATTTTAAGCTGAAAACAGACCAGCCTTGCCTGGTGGTAGCTCGTAACAAGACCAAACCTCGAAGTGTTATTTGTGGTGGAAAAGGTTAGAGTGGTATGGGGATGGGTCATGGAACAGCAGGCAGGAAGGAGTGGTGACTCCAGACAGGCAGAGGGTAAAGTGATAGGCCCTCTCCTGGCAAGCCACTCCCATCCATCAGCAGGGACTGGCAAGGTCAAGTGCACTGAAAGGGGGCCAGCAGAGGGCTGCAAGCGGAAACTGATATAGGCAGGTGGCAAAGGGTAGGCTCATACAGGACTCCAGACCCTGGGGTTAGGGACACTGGTGGTGTGCTAGGACAGGCAAGCAGAGGAGTCTGTAGGTAGGGGAGGAACCATGAGTAATGTACTTCCCTTCTCTGGTCTCATTTTCCTCATCTGTAAAA